ATTATATTGTTTCATTTCTATAGTAGGCTCTTGTATCAGATAATCTAAGTCAATGTTAGAGAATAACTGAAACTTTTTAAGATAATCTCGGTTAGCTTTCAGAGCGGGGGCTGAACACCAAGCACTATAGCACTATAGCAGCTAGCATTAGCTGGTATTTCACCATAATAAATACAGTATAGTAATATTTTAATCACAAAATATACACAATATGTCCATCTTACTTGCGAAATGTTGTCTGTCAAGCCCTCACATCCATAGTCCATCAGTCCGATCAACAATATCCCGTAGTGCTGAGGGATCTTCTGCTGTTTTGGTTGAGCAAAGCAGGCGGGTCTTCCCTTTTTTTGTTTGCTGTATTTCATTTGTTTTTTGTTTGTGTCTCTTTTTTTTGTTTGCATCAAAAAAAGAGACGCAGGTGCGTCAGGTGGCTGGTGGCTGACAGGTGCGTTTGCACCCGTCAGCTACCTGTCAGCCACCTTAGAAAAGTATCGCACAAGACGTTACAAAAACAAATCTCCAAATCAGTTGAGCACCCAAAATACCAACTTATTGATGCATTGTATTTTTTTAATCTCACGCAAAAATGAATAATGAAATAACAAGTAGATATNGANTCTCAATTGAAAAGCAATTGAACAAAAGGTTCAATTGTTCTTAAATACCGTATTTTCCGCACTATAAGGTGCACCAGATTATAAGGTGCACCTTCAATGAATGGCCTATTTTAAAACTTTTTTCCTATATAAGGTGCATAGAATAGATGCTGCAGGAGAGGCTGGAGTTACGTTATGCATCCACTAGATCAGGGGTGTCGCAAGTTGGTCCTTGAGGGCCGGCATCCTGCACGTTTTAGTTCTCTCCCTGTTGATAGTATCAACCTTTTCAGCTTGTCAGTGTTCCTCTTAGGCCTTCTAACGAGCCATCATTTGATCCAGGTGCGTTAAACCAGGGAGAAAACTAAAACCTGCAGGATGCCGGGCCTCGAGGACCGACTTGGGACACCCCTGCTCTAGATGGAGCTGCACTAAAGTGAATATCAACAAAACAGTCCGACTCCGGTCAGCGAGGAGAGCTTTCCGCGACTGGGCCGGGGCGTGGCCGGACGATGGTCACCCTTCTCCGTTCACGGACAGCATGTTGTGGAGAATGTGGTGCTAAATGACCTGCAGACGACCTGATTCTAGGCGGTCGTAGGTAATAAGTCGGTCAAACTTTATTAACAAACCAGCGTTCTGACAGCTATCCCAGTATGCATCGCGCGCTTCTTCTACAGGCGAAAATGAAGTCAGCGGCTGCTTGCTGTAGTTGCTAAACCTGTTGTGGCTCAATATTGGTCCATATATAAGGCGCACCAGATTATAAGGCGCATTGTCGGCTTTTGAGGAAATTGAAGGTTTTTAGGTGCGCCTTATAGTGCAGAAAATGCAGTACTTTTGTCCCTTGCTTTGGTCCACTTCAGGGAAGATTGGCATGAATCTTAAATGTTTTCCAATTGTTTGTCTCTATTGAATAGTAGAAGAAATTGGTACTATATTGATGGTGTCCTAATTCAGACCATATGCTGAACAGCATATGGTCTGCATGTTTTGATTGAAACAGTCGATCAGTTAGCCATGTTTTAATTAGTACCACTACTACCATTACTATTTTATGATTAAATTTATTAGAAGCAGTAATGGGAGGGAGTCGCAATTTGGCTTTATATATGGAGGGAAAACAATACTGTTGTGAAATTAGTCTTTTTATAATACATGAGGTCAGAATTTTCTAGAGGCTAAATTATTTTCATCATGTCCTGATATGTAAAACTTGAAGGGGGTTTCTTCTCTCAATTTTTGGTACTTAGAATGAAAAATGAATTTTGTTGCTTTCAATAGTGACTTTTTAATAATTCAGGGAAACTATTAATATTAATGTGCAAGCTGTGTGATTTAATTTCTCCAATTTTCGATTTTGCTTTTTCTGAAGTCCAGAATTGTTCCTTTTTCCAGGTGGTAGGTTTTCTATTGTGGGTTGTCTGCTGGTCAGATGTGTTCTATTCTTTCTGGGAAAGGAATCACAGTAGCAGCCAAACTGCACCCGTCCACCTCGTCAGTCCTACCTTACTTGGCCTCACAATGGTGAGAGATTTTTTGACTTTTATCCATCATCTCCCTGTGGAGCAGAGAAAATATTTTGTGACATTTCTAATTAAAAGATTCTTGTTTTTGTTCTGTATCTTTTATTTATAAGGGATTGCTATGTTTGTTCAAATTTTGTAAAAACATTTGATTTATTATAATAATCATAATTTATTTGATGGGGTGTGCATAAGACTAACATGACAGTGTCATAAACATGACATAACACCTGTCATGAACATGAAGGAGTCTTTATGAACGTCTGACTGTTGTGATGAAGTGTCATTCAGTAAATAATGACACTTTTAATTCAGTTACTTTAAAAGTTGCATTATAAGACCATTAAAATGACCAACTTTGCCTTATGTTTTTATGACACTTTAATGCAAAGCTGTCACGTTTAATAGACTTTCAATGCAACTTTTAGAGCAACTTTGCATTAAAAATGTCATTTTACCGAATGACACTTCATGACAACAGTCATAGACATTCATAAAGACTTCTTTATATTCATGACAGGTGTTATGTCATATTTATGACGGTGTCATGTCAGCCTTATGCACACCCTGTCAAATAAAGTGCTACCCAACCTTTTTTCCAACAGGTGCACAGATATTTTGTCAGTGATTAGATGGTTATAGAATTCTGCATAACTGTGATGAGTTTGCTGAAATTAATTCATGTAAATGTGCTTTAATTTTTCCAGCTGCTGGCCACCTTCATAATTCAATATGGACGAATAAAAGGGGTGCAGTCCTGTGGAGTTCTGCTGATCTTCTGGCTGGTAGCTCTGGTGTGTGCCACGGTCTCCTTTAGGTCAAAGATTCTCCAGGCGCTGAATGAGGTCAGTTTAAAAGATTCTGCACATTTTCTACCAGAAAATCAATTATTCAAGGATATGTTTGTTGATTTTATCTATACAGTTAAGAAATTACAGTTAGTGTGCCACAAAAGATTGTTGTTATTAGTTATGCTTTCTTTCTTTTCCTCTTTTAGCCAGAGACTGTGTGCATATGGAAGTACACCACCTTCTACATCTACTATGCTTTTCTTCTGGTCGCTCTGGTTCTCTCCTGCCTGACTGACCAACCACCGCTTTTCTCCCAGGCTGTCAAGGAATTGGTGAGACAATCATATACATTCTAGTGTTGTAAACACTAACCCACACTGCTATTTCACAGTTAAATTATGCAACACTTATCACTTTGGTTTACAGAGACGACCAAAGCTTTGTCTGGTTGTGGCCCACATGTGGTTTTGTGGCTTCATTAATTTTACTTTTCACTTGTTTCTATGGTTTATTGAAGAAATAAAAACCTTAAGAACTTCTCAGAAGTTTAAATGTTTTATTACCAAAAAAATAATATTTTTCTAAAGATCAGTGTTTTCATTGTTGATCATTTTCTTCCCAACTTATGTAGATCTCTCTCACATGCTAGATACTAACTTCTGAACAAAATCCTAACCGACTATGACCAAATGTTGTTTTAGAGCTTGAAGGTTATCAAAGTTTGGCTGCTGCTGTTTCTTCTCCTTTCTGAGAACTAACAACAGATTCTAAGTTGGGGCAAAATCCTAGAATTTTCCTGAATGTTCTGATACCTGAAACTTTGTCATAACTTTACCTTCTGGCACATCATGCTAGAAAATCTACATATTTCAAAAATGAAAGAAAGTTTGCAAAACATTATTATATTGTTGAAAAACATTTTGGCAATTACTGCAAATTGGTAGCTAATCAAAAATATTGCCAAAGTCTGGCTTCCTGAATCCAAGTCCAAAGAATCATCACATACTTTCTAGTTGTAAAGTGTAAGGTTTCCTCCCACAGAATCCCTGTCCTGAGCCTGGAGCTTCTTTCCTCTCCAGGATAACCTTCTGGTGGATTACAGGGTAAGCACACAGAAAGCATACCAGTACTGTGAATGTAGTGCTAACTTGTTGGTTATCCTGGTGGTCCAACCACCACAACCAGGAGTCACTAACACGGTGCCCTGTGGCACCTGGTTGCCAAAAGGTACATTGTCAGTCACCCGTACAGAAAGTTCTAAAAATAGCAATTGTCATCAGGGAGCACTGCCAAAACAAATATGTAATTAAGTAATTTTACATTGAAGTAATAACATTTGTTTATATGTAGAATTTAAATAAAAATAAATTATAAAAATGTTTAAAATAAATTGCTTAATGTATAAAACGTAGTAATCTTTTCTAGGGTTAAAGTTCAAAATTATGCGCAGACACAAGGGTGCCTACTTACTATCAGAGGGCAGTAGCGCCTTCAGCTGTATGGTTGCACTGTACATACCTTGAGATTTTCCTTCAAGTAATAGATAGAATAGATTTTGGATTTTCAATATAAATGTCCATATAGGTGAGTCTATATGAGCGATCCGCGCCAAGGTGAACTTCACAGATCAAGCCAAGACGGCGTGCACGAAGCAGTCAACACGCAGAGGCACCAGTGGTCTGATTGGTGTGCACTCCCTGTTCAGTGCATCAACTATTAAAAACTACAAACCCATCTTTCTTTCAGGAATAATTCTGCCCTGTGGTGTGCTGTGGTGTGCTGTGGTGGCACAGGGGTTAAGCACAACCCACATATGGAGGCCTTATTTCTCAACGTGGCCGTCGCAGGTTCGATTCCCGACCTAGCGACCTTTGCCGCATGTCTTCCCCTTCTCTCCTTTCCCACTTTACTGTCAATTAACTATCAAATAAAGGCCACTAGAACCAATAAAACCTTTAAAAAAAACAAAGCATTGCATGCCCATAATGCTAGCAAACATTTT